TTCCTGCTATTTTTACATGATAGACATAAAATGATGGGATCCATCTTTCCTGCGTCAAGTAAAGTAAATTAATCACATAGCTCTCTTGATAGCTGATGAAGAGACATATATCTCCAAAGGTCAGTTAATCTCCTAAACAGGAAAATGAACAGATGCACATAGTTGGTTATTGAAAGCTTTCTCTTTGCAACAGCACAGAATTCGAGACAAATATATATCTGTCAAAAAATATGCATGTTCATCCACTCTGAACTGCTTCCAGAGTGGTTGCAGTTTCTCGAACTATCATAGGCCTACACATAAATGCAGTGGTCTAAACAGCACATGTGATTTTGTGCCTTGTTACCACTTTGAACTAACTTCACTCAAGTTGTTAATTTTCTGTAGTACTCACAACATGATGCACCCGAAAGAAGAGGCTATTTTAGTCTTGCTTTATTTTATTCCAATTGAACAATGAAGAAGTAAGATAGGTAAAAAGCAACTGAGATCTCTAGGGGTAGCAGCCTTTTCATGGGTAGCTCTTCGTTTCTGTCTTCATCACAACTCCCTTGAGTGCCACTAGCCCCCAATATCTGTAGCAGTCAGAATCATTCAATTCATCTTGGTTTGTATGAGCTTTTTCTGCTAGAGAGAAGTACAAAATAAAAAGCAAATTAATTCTCTAATTAGACAATTGTATTTTCTGCAATATAGTACTTTGTTTTCTGTAGCTTTCTTTTCTGTCTACCACTTCCTCTGATTAGGAGTTGGATTTTTGCTTGTTTTCATTTGATGTCCTTCATAGGATCCTAGGCTAAATCATGTTGCAAGAGACCTCGAGAGGTCTTAAGTCCAATGTCAGGAGTAAGATCAAGTCAGGTTACTCAGGGTTTTATCTAGTCCAGTCTTCAAATCCCCAAAGGCAGCAGACTTTACAGGTTCTTTGGGCAGCCTGTGCCACTCACTGTCTGACTGTAATTGCATCAATTCTACACTTGTTTGTTAAAAAGTATATTGCTCTACTGTATACTGTAAAAGAATAATGCAAAGAATTAAATGCTTTGTGTTTTCTCCCCAAGATTAGTTTCAGAGTGAGAAAAAAAGCAAAGAATTAGCTACCCGTTACCAGTACATGATATATGCCTGGCAGAACTAATACAGCTCTGAACTTGAACTCTTGGTGGTAGGACTTACATTTCAGTACAGTTTCAAGACCGTATCTGACAGGGCTGGCAGAGCAGACTGGTGCCTGTTCCTAGTTCTGCATTCAATTTTTTTCTGTAAGTACTTTATTTTGAATAGCCTCATTGAAAATCAGAAGGTGTGACAGCTTCTATTTGTTTTTCTGATTGTTCCAATGGTTTTTATTGCTTGAAAATTACATTTCTATATGAAAAGAATAAATGGATCTCCCCTGTATGGAGACAAAGTCGCATCTTCCCTGGAAAATGGTTTCAGGGACAGAAGTTACTTATCTGGTGGTGTGGATGGTAGAGAGCAAGAGTCATAGCAGAAGAACCTGAGAACCTGCAGTCAACACACAACCTAAAAGGCTGCAGAGAAGCACAGGGAAGAAATAACCAGGCTTCGGTGGTGATGGAAAACAGCCTCTTGGGATCAGAGTACTTGGGAGTTTGCTACAAATCAGAAATCCTCTTTGATTGAAGCCAAACTTGAAAGGAAGGACAGGCAATGGGAGAGGTGCTCACATCTATTGTGTCTCATCTAGTTGGTTCAAATGTTCTTGGTCTTAAATTCCCTATTAAAAGTAATTAAATCTGTCTTTTTCTAGTTTAAAAGCCTTTTGTCTTCTCTAGAGAGATGTCTATAAGGAAAAGGCATGGACAGACGCATCTCAGTCCTTTGGCTGACTCTGTGTCCTGTCATAGAAAATGTTAGTACAGAGCATGTTTTGTTGCTAAAATTGGCTTGTTTAATTGACTTGCTGACTCATTTTTCCAGCTGGTCTGTCATTCTACTCAATTCCAGATGAGGCAATAGGAAAAAGAAAACTCTTCTGAATGTTCCACCCTCTTGTCAAGCCAAGTAACAATTAAAAAGTTCAATTTTCATTGAAGCTCTTTATCTCAGTTAATTATCCAAGGAACAGTAAATCAGATATATTGTCCTCTGTTTGTTGTCAATAATTTAAATTCTAAATTCTTTATAGATCAGTTGCAGATTTAACATGCTGCTGCTTTTCCCTAAATTACATACTGTTTTGCAACTTGAATCCAGGTTTAATTTTTACATTTGAGATCAAATGCTAGACTGTCCCAGCTAATTGAGTCCTGTTCTATACACACACAAGCAAACTCACATGATTCTGTCTTAACTTACTTAAGTAGTTACTTTTAATCCAAAAAAGACATCAGGTCACTCAACTATCTAACTAGTGGCCTTTGGTGGGGCTTTTTGTGTTTCACCATAATTTTTGAGAAGAATGCTATCTGAATCAAGTATTCAGTGGATGCTAAAGTGGTGGGAGTGGTGAGTCCAAAAAAGAACAAGAGTGTAATAAGTAGGGACCTCGTGAGCTGAGAGATACTCTTAGTAAATAACATTGTGATATTCAGCTTGGAAAAAATAGATGGTAATTAAATAGAAACAGAAAGATCCATTAGAAGGGTTATAGCTGACACTTTGTAAAAGAGGTCAAGAACAAATGGGAAAAGGCAAATGTAACTTGGATTTACAATGTGTTACAGCATTAAAAAAATAAATGAGATGCAGACATATCAGGAGTCATGTTCGCACTATCAATACTGATATTTTCAGGGCAATAGAAGGCATTTTTCATCTGTCTTTATCCATATGAACTGTGAGAAAAAAAAATTACCATCACACATGTACAGTCATTCCCATACCTGCCTAGGTAACAAGAATTGTAATTTGCTTGACTCACTACTGAGAAATGACCCTGTATAGGATAGTCTTATTAGTTTTGCTGAAAAACTTCAAATTTTGTCCTGAATAAAGCACCTGAATAAGCATTCAGTGCAGCAGAGCAGTTGCTTTAATTCTGCTTTTTACTGCAGAAACAAAAGGTTTGTATGGATAAAGCAAATCAAAACATACTGTTAATTAAAAATGGCATCTAGCATAAATCTTTGTTTGCCCTTCTTCATATAAGGGTCAACATTAATAAAATTTCATCAATTGCTAGCTGCTGACTGATGATTTGGAGCTATTTCTACAGCTCTTGGTTAATACATAAGCTCTGATTATGTATGTAACATATTCTTTGTTGATTACTTGACAAATGAAGGTTTAGGTAGTAACCACATATGCTAAATAATGTGATAAAAATTTGTATTAATAATAATTTAAAAATTTAACAATTATCAGTTGTTTACAAAAAATCCCTGCAATTTTATATTCTGAATATTATTTGAAGAAAACATTAACTTACTACTCAGTTATAACCTGCATGTACATTAATTGTACTACAGGTTAATTTTAAACATAGTCATCAAGCTCCATAGAAAGGAATTTATATTCTGATTTCATGTTGTGATCTGTGATTTGCAAAGGGAAGCGGTAAAGTTAATGATCGATAAAGGCAGTCCAGTCCTTGGACATTCGTTCAGAGAGACATGGTAACAGTGAACGACTTATTAAAACTGTTGTGAAAACATTTTTCCCACCTTTTACAGAAAGACTCAGCCTCTGAGCTAAGTATTCATCCAGAAGATGAAAAATAATATTTCTAGTTTTTCTACATATTGTATAGGATTTTAAATTTGTCTACCACATTACTAGTTTTTAGGGATTTTTTTAGCTTTGTTGTATTTTTTTTCACTCAAATCAGTCAGTTTGCATGGAAAATAATTATAACTCTGTTTTCTGTCCAAAGCTTGGATGGAATTTTGTGAATCTTCTGAAGGCGTGGCTCCCCTCAAGTTACTGAGGCAGATTGGATTTGCGTTGATTAAACAGAATAGAATTCTGGTTATAAAACACATAGCTTTAATGAATATCAAGAGCTTAAAGGGAACTATCAGAAGCTTAACCCTTCCGTGGAACCGTGTTGAACTAATATAGTGGTTTTACATGAAAAAAATGAAAGTCTGAACAAAATGAGGATTTGTTTTCCGTAGTATATGAAAATTTCATCTTTTTTTCCCTGAAATCGTTTATATTCTAGAAATCTTGTTTTGCATTGATTTGAATTCTGCTTCCATGCATATGTTCATTTTAATTCATTGGTGAGTATCTAATATTGACAGGAGATTACATCAACTAATTTAACAAAAACTGAAGAAGTATAATTACCATGCTAGGAAAATAAAAAGAAATTCAAATGGTTCATGGGCAGTAGTCAATGTAAGAGCTTTAAAATATGAGAGATGTATGAAAGAACATTCTTCTTGAGTTCTACTTCATGAACCAAAATAATTAATAAGAATACATAAAATATAATAACAGTGTATCTATTATGATGATAAAAAATTTAAAAAAACACACGTTTCTGCCCATGTATGAAAAATCCAAATATTATTAATTTAAGAGGTGCAGCTAATTAATGATATATAGTTACTTTATATACATTCTTTTTTAACTTTCATAGGTACGTGTGTTCACATTTTCTGTTGGTCAACATAATTATGACAAAGGACCCATACAGTGGATGGCCTGTGAAAATAAAGGTACTTTGTTTTTCTTTTATACTAGTCTTTGCTAGAGCTTTGGATAGGTAATATATGCGTTATTCTCTAAAAATTACAGATATTTTTCAGCTTGATTTTTAGCTTTTTTGTATTTTAATATAAAAATTCCAAGAAGTTATTTGATTAAATAATGTGTGTATACATATATATTTATTTCTGATTGCTTTATTTAAAACTTTGTATTGTAAGATAAATATCACAGTAAATAAT